ATTGAGATTGCAGTGTCGTCCGGTATTGTTTGCGGCCACAAAGAGCACTCCGAAAGGGCCCTTTTGTTTGCGTATGTGTGTTGCGTTTTAATGGTTGTGTGTTGTGCATATGTGTGTGTGTGGTGTGACGCTCGAAGAGGGTCTGTCGTTAGGTTTGCTTACTTATAGAAGGGAGCACTAAACGTAGTAAACGAGCGGATTATAAGTTTATCTAGCTACCTAAGGTCTCTTCCTTTTGAAACTTCCACGGGAAAAGAGTTTACTACTCGAGCCACTGTCAGTCAATATATTACGGACTGTATAAAGCGAATTATAACCGTCATGTTTTTGTTAGGACCTATAGTAAATCTTCGATCCTTATAGAGAAGGTCGTCACATATGTCGACTTTATACACAAAGCCCAGTTACGCTGACTAAGCTATCTCGGTCCAGTGTTTATACGAATATTTGACAAATAAAAAAAAGTAGTAAACTTGTTACTGTTTAGAAAGTACACTTATAATTTGTGGTGTTGAGACTTGTTAATTATAAAAGGAGTTAAGTTGGACCTTGGAGAGTAGTTATGACACGACACACACAGCAACCTCGATACACGTAACACGTGAGTTACCGTATACGAGCTTGCCCTCAGACGGACCTGCTACGTTAGTACAACGCGGCGTGATAGGCACGACTCACGACGACTGAAAAGTATGGTTACAGGGTGACAGACCTATTGGACGGTATTTCAGTAGTTCGACGAGACGCGTCACAACCGCTTTACAGCGGGGAGACAAAGTAATATTATCGAGGAATACAGACAATCGCGCGAACGATCGGTCTACGATGTTGTGGTGATGTAAATTCAGAGCGAGCGCCCGGGTGTATGTCGTGCGGGAGGGCCAGAGGCTACCGGTCAGTCCCGGACGGCCACTTCGCCACTTTCACATCCAGACGGCGTTCGCCCGGTCGTCCTCGCCACGAGACAGTCGTAGTCGAACATCTACCATAAAATTGAGCTACGCGAGACTTATGATGCGCCCGTCGGCTACCTGTTTTTAATGTGTACGAAATAGCGAATTATTATTAATCAGCCATTTTTTTAACGGCAATGAACTTCGGGATTAAAAACAAAAATCCGGGATGAGCTTGGTCAAACACCTGGGAGCAAGGCGGCACCTGGTGGGGGTAGCGATGCAGTCGCCCGGTAGGTGAGTCCGAGTGCGTAGTATTCGACGAGTGTAATCTGTCATCAATACGGATACAAATGACGTGCTACTGTAGGAGAATTTTACACGGTAATGCACGTAAAATATCTAGGAAACAACACGGACGCACTATAAATCTATTGTAGGACGTGGGGTCTGGTCCCCTCCCGCGTGCTACGACGGACCATACTGTCTCACCTCCGTTAATGTTCATGAGTTGACGGTGACTCTTGCAGTCGGCCAACTAAATTAAGCAAAAATTACGCGGAAATAAGGTACGAAATTCCTTTATGTAAGCCATGACGTGACAAGAGCATTAGGACTATGAGTTAGGTCGCTGTGCCTTTCGATGTAGTAAGACACAAACTTGAAAATGTCGACCAGAGACTCAGAGAGAAGCTGTCTAATCTCACGATGTCAGTAATAGACCCGCTGCGTAATCTTCACAGGAATAAGTAGATGCAGTAGACCAACAAAACGCCATATACAGATCAGCCCAAAAGTACAGTCTAACGAGAGAAAATAAACTTAAAGATTAACGTCACTAAAGATGCACTATACCACTCGTCGTACTCGGGAATAAATGTCATCTATCGCTTGTAATTATGCCGTCACAAGCTTCAAAGTTGTATTTATCATCTGAATTTGCCGAAACAAGTTTAATATTCTGAAAGCCAAGACTTTGTTTTAATTGAAATCAGATGAAAACAAACTGTAACGGACCCTGCCGTGTTATTTATGATTACTCTACCCTTACATTCATAATGTCAGCCGGAGGGAGGGGGAGCGGCGCTGCGGAAGAGCAGATTGCCTGTCATCTTCCCTTTACAAGCTTAAAGAATGTATTTATCGTGTGAGTTTGGAAATAAAAGTTTCATATTCTGAAAGCCAAGACTTTGTTTGTTTAAAATCAAACAAAACACCCGAACCCCGAAAAAATAGTTTTTTATGCAAATCCACGTTTATTTTGAAATGAGCCGTTGCGACTTCCGACTGATTTCGATAGAGCGGGTCACATTTGTCCACACATATGTTGATAAGAGTATTAAAAACTTGAAAAATATTCCTCTAAGGTACATTTAGAACAGACAAAACATTTGCAATTAATCGCGATTAACTAGGGACAATCATGTGATTAATCGCGATTAAATATTTTAATCAACTGACATACCTACAAAGAATACAACATTGTATCCATATATGCATCCATGTCACCATAAATCAAATGAAACCCATTCACCCTGCAGTCTCTGTGGTTGTCCGGTCCAACGCGGCACTGGTCTCATGTTGCCGACAGCATTGGGGTTGTAGAAAGAGCGTGTGGGAGGCTGCTAGGGAAAGAATGTATGGAAACACGTTGCAGGTCAACCTCTGAATCACAATATATATTTTTTTTAAACTGAAATGACAGAGGTGCACAGTGATTTCTTTATCCACAACCTCCAAGTGTTATGGTTATTGAATCCTTTTAGGAGGTGAACATTTTGCTGCAATATTTTGGTTGGTTTGATTACATTTCCATCTTTTAAACTACTTGTGGCCTTGCCAAAATGAACAATTAGGACGGATTATTATTAAAACATTATTGGCTGTATGTATGAAAAAGCTAAATAAATGTTGTGGCTTAATAGAGAAGGTACTGAAAATAATTCCAAAAGCTTTAGTGATGTTCCACATGATGAATATCACAGTCGCTCTCTGTTCTCACTGTATAACGGTCCTTACCTGGGGCACAGTCATGTAGTATCCGGCCTGCTGGAAAGAGTCGATGATGGGACTCGGCATGCTCCTTATTGTGGAGATCCTCTGCATGTATTTATTGGTCAGGATCGCTTTACGCTCCTCCCTCCGCTGAGCCAGAGCCACATACAGTGGCTTGGTGGCAATAATCCTCCCGTTCATTTCAGTCACTGCTTTTGTTGCTTCCTCAGGTGAGGAGAAACAGACAAAGCCAAAGCCCTTGCTTTGGGAGCCATCTGTCATGACCTGCAGGGAAAAAAGAAATGTTTAAGACGCTTTACATCAGAGCTGTAGACTTGAGACAGGACACAGAAATCAGGACTTGTGACGCCACTGCAGGAACTTGACCTACTTAAGACCTTGTGGCAAAAGCAGAGGAGACTTGAATATGCGACTCAAAAATATTGAAAAATGAGTCACTGAATGTTGTTTTGCCTGTTAAAGCCCTGCCAAACTCTCCTACCCTTAGACATCTCCTGTTTCCATTTATTTGCTGGCTTAATGACTGGAAAGGAAATATTTTTGGGCTCGTCTCTTTGTAGGACACTGATTTATACTCCTTAAGCTTTTATATGACATTTTTCCATGCCATGTCCAATCCTTTATTCTAGACCTGAATTTAAGCAGTTGATTGATTGTTGTGAATAGAACCAGGAAGGCCCAAATCCTCACAACCCACCCTGAAGCTCTTTTTCAGATCACAAACAAGCCTTTCATTATAAGAATAATAAGTTCATACAAAAGTACCTTAATCATTTGCCCTCCTCTCCATCAAGCCTCACTGCATAAAACCTGCTTGTGTTCAACTTTTTCCACAACGTTTGTGAAAAAGACAAATGAGAATAAATATAAATTTAAAAAAAAAAAAATGTATGCCTGGCCGGCCGCACCTTTAAAATTAGTAATTATAAAGCGGATACAAATCTATGTAAAAGTGGACAGTCTTGTGGAAATGCTTTAAGAAAGTCAGAAGAGAATGGTGATGCTTGATGCTCTATCACATTGTAACTAGCAGTGCAAAAGGACAAGGTGATGTTCAGCTTTCTTCTGCAATGGGCAGTGAGTCCTTCATTCTGGGAGAATACAATTGATGGTGTATCGCTTTAAGGTTTAATGGTCGGGCTTTCTAGTATTATTAATTTGTATTGTACGGTTCCAGGTACCTGCTGTGCGGACTGAGGCTGGAAAAAGGAGTCTTCTTTATTATGGTCCTTGGTCTTGGAATGACCTTCAATCAAACCTAACTGAGGGCACTTGTCCCTATAGCATGCTTTAAATGGAAGTTGTCTTAAGTCCTTACCACCAGCTGCTCTTGCAGTAATAAGTAGTGCACCTTTCTTACTGTCTTCATGTGCACAATGTCGTGACTGCTTTTCGTCTTTTGTTTTCTTAGTTATGTTCTCTGTATTTCATATGTTTGTGTTATGTGTAACGTTGCTGCCTTCTTGGCCAGGTCAGCATTGAAAATGAGATTTTATCTCAATGCTTTTATCTGTTTAAATAAAGGTTAAATAAAAAATATATATATATTCCTACCTCAGATAAATCAACAGTAAAATCACAATGATTGTTACGTGTGTGAATCTCATTACCTTGGCACTGGTGATGGTGCCATAAGGGGCAAACTCTTTCCCGAGCCTCTCGTCATCTATGGTATCGTCCAAGTTCTTCACGTACAGATTCACCCCCTGGAATCAGAACGAGTAAGCTTAACTATATTTTATGCTACCCAACCATTTTGTCTATCTCTTTTCTGTTCTCTTTATATATTTTTTTACAAACATACACAGGAATATTTAAACTAGCATTGTCATCTATCTGCTTACATGTAAATTATGCATCAGTTAACATCTATACACAACAATTCAGGTAAGGCCTTCATTATGAAAACTACCTAAGTATTTAACCAATATTCTATAAAGATATCCACTTGAGGTAAAACCATTAAAAGGCCTTCAAATGTCTGGGCCCAGATGCACCCTGCAGCAGCACCTGGTAGCGCTGGATGCGATCCTGTTTGATCTGGTCAAACTTGCGCTTGAGCTCTCCCTGGCGCTCCAGTCTCTTCTGAGCACGACCGACAAAGATGGTCTTCCCATTGATATCTTTTCCATTCATATCATCAACTGCCTGCAAACAAGAGGAGCATCAACATGTTTGAGATTCTACGTGTTGTCTGTATTGTAGAAATAGAGAGCAGACAGATGTTCCTATTCAGATCAACAGAGCAGGATGGTCAGAGGAGCGGCCATATTTATATGCATTGTTGCGATTGCTATAGAGATTGTTATCGCTGTAGCAGCCTCGCTTTTGTATACGTTGTGCAAAAGCCAAGCAGTGGAGTCAGACATGGACTATTGGCTTGGTAAGACAAAAATGTTGATAATTATGAAGGGGATTATATGTGGGTGAGAGGAAAGAAGTAATAAGAATAAGAGTTCTTTAGCTTGTGGGTGTGACACACTTTGAAGCTCACTTTGAGCAGCACATCGATGCTGCCTGGTGTGTTTGTTGCAAGTCAATGCTGCCATGAAGTCAAAATAATGAGCGGCTAGTGTAGGCAGGTATCTATAGATCTAGATGGACAGTGAAAACTTGGCACATTTTACCTGCTGAGCATCCTCGTGGTTTGCGTAGTTCACAAAGCCAAAGCCTCGGGAACGGCCCCTGTCATCCCTCATCACCCGCACACTGAGAGTCCTGCCTGAGAGCACAGAACAGTCTGTGACGGTCTGATCGACTAAGTTACAGTAAAGCAAATCTAATACCAACTGTGGCAGTCAATACATAACAGACAGGCCTCTAAGTGAGTGGGAGAGCAACACAGAAATGATTCAAAAGAAAAGTACTTTCTTACCAAATGCCGAAAAGACTTCCTTGAGTTTCTCCTCCGTGTATTCTTCACCAAAGTTTTTGATGTAGACGTTGGTGAACTTCATCGCTTTGGTTCCAAACTCCATCTCTCTCTCCTTGCGAGACTTAAAGTGGCCAACAAAACTACAAAGAAAATCCAACCCATCACCAAGGGGACAATAAAGAAGGACAACTTTCAAAAAAGGTGCATCTTTGGCTTAAGCACACAGCATCAAATAAGGACATAGCAGAACATAACATAACATAAATGTCACACACATTTTATAAGTGATTATTCCTGTAAATATTGTTCACAGATGAATGAACACTTCTCTTTCCATTATGAATGAAACACCTACTCTGCATGGACACGAGAACTTTCTGATGATTTTTTTTATAAAGTTTAATCCTCAAATGACAACACAGAGAGAAAACACCTCGACACAGATCCTACCTATCAACTGACCTAAGAAGGGACAACTGACATGTTCGCCCCAGCAAATTGGCCATTGGGTTGACATTGCCAGATTCCAATTGATTACCTGTCTTCTGACTGAGCAAAAAACAAAAACACGTCATCCAGCATTCATTCAGAGTTTATAAAGTTAAAAACACACATACATATCCTACACTAGTGTTTGCCCTGAATTTACTTTTTTAGGTCACATTTTCACCACCTTTTAGACTCTGGTAGTTTACTCACACTTTCCTATCATTCAGCAGCATCCCATTCATGGTGTCAATGGCCCGGTTTGCAGCCTCTTGAGTCTCAAAGTGAACAAATCCATAACCTTTGGACCCTTTCTCGTCACAAACAACCTACAAGACAAAGGCTTTGAATCATGCATCAATTGCAGAACAAATAAGCACCAAGTGTAGCCTTTTACTGGGCCAGGCGATCGTTACAATTACAAACTGATTGAACAGATCTATTGTGTCAGAAAATGATCATCATGTTATTGTTTTAGAAAATGTAGTCATTCTAAGCAAACTGTGATAACATGTTGTCAATATTGTTTACTTTAATGGTTCTTTGCAGTGGTCATCTGTTGTAATGCTGTGTCACTCATTTAAAGTGAACTGCACCACCCTACTGTTGTATTCAAACGTATTATTCCAATATTGCATAATGAAAATAATGAATACCTAGAAAATGACCCAGGCAACTCACCTTGCAGGACAAAATGTTGCCAAAGGCTGAGAAGGTATCGTACAGAGCCTTGTTGTCAATAGACTCGTCCATATTCTTGATGAAGATGTTTCCCACGCCAGACTTCCTGAGTCCCGGGTCACGCTGAGACCACATTATTCTGATAGGCCGACCCTTGATGACATCGTAGTTCATTGTATCCAGGGCGCACTCAGCTTCAAAATAAAAATACTGAAATTAATAACCCTTTTCATATTTCATCAAATGTTTCATAAAGCACCACGGCTCCTCATGCAAATCTATATCACAGCTCTATTAAAGATTGAACTTCCTTTAATCAAATCGTTTAAGCAAAATTAGTTGAGAATTTATATCACACAATAATTCATGTCTGTGATGTGGTTTTGTTTGATACTAAAGATGCTTCATGATGCTTCACTCAAATGTTAAATACAATAATTCTCCCATTTCTGTATTTGCGACATTAAAAGGTTCAGGACTTTTCACCATACTGCTTTCGAAATAAGCATAAACATCACAACAAAACATGGGATGTTTTATTGGGCAACACTTATTCCTATCCCATTTTGACAGTTACATTATTATTTGCACCCTTATCCCCAGAAAAATCATAATATTAACTACAAAATTCCCTTTATTTGTTATACATTTTTAAGTTCATAAAGTTTCTTGTTTAATTTTAAACATAAAAAATACAGCTCATGTCTGTAATTAAAAATGATGCTGCCCAGTATTCATTTTCCAGTACTGAAAATAGAGTTTAAACTTGGTACGTTACCATCAGCTGGTTGCTGGAAGTTTATGTATGCATATCCCAGAGACCTGCGGGTGATGATGTCACGGCACACACGGATGGACATGATGGGTCCAGCAGGAGAGAACTTCTGGTAGAGCATTGCCTCCGTGACATCTGAATGCAGGTCGCCTACATACAGAGAGGCGAGGGGGTAGGACTGTCCACCGCTGCTCATCTTGAGTCAGTGCTAGTTAAAGAAAGAAGAATGTTATGAGTATTGCATTGACGCATATGCAGACTACATTCTCCGTGTTGCCCGTTTATAAAAAACAAGTTATATCCACTGCAACCCTAAATAAAACAGCTTTTGATCAATTTCTCACTTTAAGAAGGTTACCATATACCACTTGTTATGATTCAACTCTAAACTAATTCTAAGGCAACTTCTATTGGAAACACATTTTAATATGACCATTTTCTTATCTTAATTTGTGCAATTTTAGCAATATATGAACGCCTCCAACTCAAAAGGTGAGTACAACCTTAACAGGTCAGTTATACCCAAAGGTGTTAGGGAAGTTTTGTGGTTAATTTTTACCATCTTATAACCAGGAAGTATAAAATGGTCTTCCTTTAATGACTCGTTGGCTATATTATACTACATTCGGCTATATTATACTACATTCTGAAAGTTAAAGCAATTCATGTTTTATTAAAATGATTTATTTCCCAATAATTATGACGCGAGAGGGCGTGGCCATATGCTTCTCAAAAGATGGCGAGAGCCCAAACGCCATGGCCCAAACGCCACAGCCAAATTAGCATTTTCCAAAATTGTATCCAAAAATGTGTTTCAATATGGCAGGGCATTAAATAACAAATCTAGGACTATAAAAAAGGTCTATTCACCAATGCATTGATTAAAAGTTCATAACATATTTCATTAGTTACCAAAAAACACTAAGTAACTAGAGCTAGCTAAAGTTAGCTACATTTGCACCAATTCTTACAGCACTTTTAAAACCAATATTAGCGAATATTAAGTAGAGGTGAAGGCATAAATCTCAATAAGACAATTGATTAAAAAAATGTTTAAAAGTTAACGTTACTTACAGCTTTTAAATAGCCTATCTTCGGAATACTGAAGTATGATTTTCAGAGTAGCAGGTTGCGAGCGCCGTTCAACACTTTCCACATGTGCGTTAGGTTGTTTTCGTTTAATTATGACCGTGGAACACCTGCAGTGCTCTTCCGCGTATCGTCGTTTCAATTAAGCTGTGTGAGGGGGCATATGTTAACAGGCGTGACACTCCGCGATGAAAACTAGTTCTTGTATATAAAAAGTATTAAAATCTCTTGTTTCGCCCCCTGTTGGATGTTTGCCCAGACTGAAATCATACATCGTCACGAAAACTCAGTGAATTTAAGGTATCTTTACTAAATCATATTAATATTTCCTGCGAACAAAAATGAAGACGTTATTTGCCTGTTATCTTAAACGAAACTTTATTTCACTGAATGTTCTTTGACACTTTTTCTATTTCTTACATGTATAGTGAAACTAGAATGGTTTTAAGATACATAAACACAAAGCTAGAATTACACCAACCATTGTTTATCTCCATTTCTTCATTGCTTTTTAGAGCTATTCTAAATTTTCACAACCACTTGTGTGTGCACTGGGTAATAGACTGTTACAGAAGCAAATGTTTAGCCATAAGACTTGTAAAAACAAAGCAAGTAAATACCTGATATACAGACAGGCTTCGTTCCACATTCACTAACTGCATTTTCATCAAGCATAATAATAAATTGACATGATTTTTTTTTTCCACCCCCTCCCGACAGGATTATTTCAATTCATTGGAGCATTGTCAGAGTAAACAGACGGTCAGCAATAATGTGGAATGGTGTCTTCAACTACAATATGTGGAATGTAGTGGTGATAAATGGTATTGTGACACTGAGCTTTTTTTCCTTAAGTGAAGGACTTGGCCTCTCCAAATTAGACCTGATTTTTGAGGCGATCATTAACACAAGCAATCTTTAACAGCAGAGAGATGCACCTGGGTAAAAAATGTTGTCAAGATTTAGCAATTTAGGTTGTCTGGTCTTAACTAATTCCCTTTGATATTTCTAAAAAACAAGCAGATGCAGCCACAGATACTGCAAGAGAAAGCCAGGCACAGATTTTTTTTGTTGGAGAAAACAACCGCTTTAAGAGGAATATTTTTGCAAGCAGGGTTGATACAGTGTGGTAAGACATTTTCAATTAACATCAATAAAAGGTTACTTTAGGTTTTACATACAGATGATAGTCAATCTTGCAAAATACATGGTACCACATTAACGCATACAATTTTCATTGTACTGAGATCAAGCAGCACCTGAACAGTGAGTAAAACTACAATGACAATCCATACTTAGTTCCAAAAAAAAAAACAGGAGCACTGTCTTTCCAAAAGCCTAATTCATGTGGAATGTATGATGTCTGACAAATCTAACATGACAATTTAAGGGGTCCCTTGAAACTGTGAATTTGTGAACATGATCAAGGAGCCTTACACCAATATGTCAGTGTCACAATACAGCTGCCTCCTTTCTGTATGAACCCACAGCAGAATTGCAGTTAGTTGTTAATACAGGATTGTACGAGTGTCTGAAAATACAAACACAAAAACTGTTTTGGGATTGTGAAGCAAATGGGACGCCTACCATCACAGTGATTGGTGGAAATCAACTGCCAGTTTAATTACCATACAATAAAACCTGTAAATATCATGAGGAATCACAAATAAGAAAATAACAAAAAAAAAAGGGATGAAAAATGCACAACAAACTAGCTGGGACAAAGGGATTTGGAAGGACGATTAGAATTCACAACACCCCCCTCCCCCCAGACCACCACACATACACACAATCTTTCACATCTTTTCATACATGCTCTCACTACATACAGACATACACACAAAAGCCGACAAAAAACAACAGCAACATGGACTCATTAATCAATACAACATGTTTCCACAAAGTGACTGAATCTGCTAACTGAAAAATTACCCTGTCACCTAACAGTGAACTGAGAGGGGTAAACTAGTTGGTCAGGAGCAATTCAGGCTGCTTGTCATACAGAAGTGGGAGGAGCTGATGGAGTGGAGGGGGATGTATATAAGCTGTCTGTGTTTAAGATAAGAGTGTAGGTGGATTAACAGTGCAATTCCATTAGTTTTCCCCATCTCCAGTCTCTCCCTCATCTGCTTGGTTTTCTGATGTCCACAGCTGGTAACAGAGAAAGAAAATAATGTTATAATTAGCTTTGAGTAATACAGTAGGATCAATGAGACACAAAACAGTATGGTGCTTAAAACTCACAGTCAGGTTATCCCTTAGTAGTTGCATGATCAGGGTGCTGTCTTTGTAAGAATCCTCGTTCAAAGTGTCAAGTTCAGCAATGGCGTCATCAAATGCCTGAAAGACAAATATTACACTTGTTATTCAAATGTTTACAAAAAATCCAGCAACATTGTAATATAATATTGCCTTCTAATCTTATTCACAGTAAACCTGTAAAGGATTTAGAAATTATGACATTGGGCTTCAGTCCATACCGCCTTAGCCAGGCTGCAAGCCTTGTCCGGGTTGTTGAGGATTTCATAGTAGAAGACCGAGAAGTTGAGGGCCAGGCCAAGCCGGATGGGGTGTGTTGGCTGCATCTCCTCCTTGCTGATGTCAAATGCTTGCTGGTACGCCTGCTGGGAATTCTCCACGGTATCTTTATAGTGAAAGAGAAGAACAAAAATATATATAGTTGAAAAATGCTACATGTGGGGGAAAGAAACTGCAGACTTGGGGATAATTACCCCCACTGATCCCTTTCATATAGGGATTTGACCCCTTGTTATTAATTGTATTAATGCAGCTCTAGGCACATGGTCAGTGAACACATCTCTTATGTTAAGCATGTCCTTACCCTTCTTTTTATCTTCAGAAGCAACCTCAGACAGGTATCTATAATAGTCGCCTTTCATTTTCAGATAGAACACCTTGCTCTCGGCAGCACTTGCATTGGTAATGAGAAAGTTGTCCAGTAGCCCCTGAAAACAAAAGTTAAAATAGTTTAGTTATGTGATATTCAGAATCAATTTCAAACAAGCGCCATTTTCACATGTGAATGATTAAGTATTGAATTACAAAACAAAAAATACAAAATCCTTACAAGCACATCACGGCAGATATCCTGCAGCTCAACTTCAATCTTCTCCCGGTATTCGCGCGCCATCTGCATCTTTTTTTCATTGCCCTCCGTCTTCTGCTCAATGCTGGAGATGACACGCCAGGATGAGCGGCGTGCTCCTACCACATTCTTGTAGGCAACCGAGAGAAGGTTGCGCTCCTCATTTGACAGCTCCGTATTTTGCTCTGTCACCGCCTTCATGGATGCAGCCATGTCATCATAGCGCTCAGCCTGCTCGGCAAGCTTGGCCTTCTGTACCAGGTCGTTCTTATCCATTTTCTAGACTGGTGGAGAAGAAAAACAGTATTAGGATGTGTTGTGTATAGTTAATCAAAAAACAGGGGGAAATGTTAACAACATACCTCACATTGGCATTTATTTTTTTCTTTTAACTTGTATTATTAAGTTATTTTGCTTTGGCTTCTAAGAGAGGTTACCATTGGATTCAAAGGAAAGTGAGGATAAGCATTGCAAACTGGGCCCCATGGCAAGTGGGTCAACCATACACATCACTGGCTAAGGCTAGCTGCTAGCTAGCGTTTGTCAATCCTTCCTAGTCCTTAACCCCAATTAGATTTAATGTGACTAAATCAAATCCACTCACAGTATCAACAACTGCCATATTGTAAACTATAAATAACAAAACTGTTTCAGTGGCTCTTTTAATGTCGTTTAAATCGACAATTAGTACACCAAGCGAAGCATTCACGGGTCAGGTTTTAATGCCCTCCCTTTATGTTGCTAGCAATGCTAGCGGAGCGGTACATTGTGCTAACCGATGTCAAATATAGCTTGCAATGTGCGACCGATCAGAATCATTATTAGTTTTGTACAATATAAATATGACACCTAACATAATTAGATACCGTTATTATTTCTCATCTGTCGTATTAATGAATACGCACAGCGAGTGGAGGAGTGGCTAACCATTTGCTAGCTAGCGTCGTCTTAAAATGTAGCGTTACAGTGTGTGACGGTAACGTCCGTCCGCTAGGCCAACAAAAGCAACGACTGACTTTCGGTTAAAAAACACGGTTAGGGTGTTGGCAATCGGCATTTGCTATTTTTTTATTATACACAGAAAACATAATTGTGTACTCTAACGCGTTACCTTCACGTTTAATTCATTTTTAGCAGCTGTATCACGGCCCGCCTAGGCTGACGAGCCTGTCAGAACAAAGTGTCACGGAATCCGACCGTCCGTTAGCTTGCTGGTTAGCATGAGCTGCTAGCCAGCGCGCTAAACCGTTAGCCTTTCACAAACCCAGCTCGCTATCATGATGGCTTCTCAGCAGGATTCAACCAGACACGATGAAAACGCCATTCTAACATTAAGCTACGAATGAAAATATGCTCTTATATTGCGCCTTACATAAGTGCGATGTTCTTACACTTACAATATTGGTGACTTTTAGTCCTGCTTTTTTTTTTCTCTCTCTGGACGATTTAGCCTCCGTCCTCCGTCTCGCTCAGCGTATCGTTCAGGGCAGTACCACTTCCGCTACACTGCCCGTTCTGTTTCCTCTTTTCTCACCGCACATCTGCCTTACGTAATGCTACCCCTGCTCATAAGCTAAATAAGATAATTAATATAGCCTACTGTAAAATATAATAAAAAAACACAAGTTATATGTGCGCTTAAGCCATATTTGTTTTATCTGGTGGGCTTTGACATAACCATTTTCATTATAGATTCATTCAAACAACAAGGTTACATGACGATTTCTATTCCACACTTTATTCCAGCAAAAAACGCATATTATCGTTAATGCGGATCTTTATCTGGCAACGGCTCCTGGTTAAACTCTAGACACAATTACTATATTAAGTATTTTCAAAGATATCAGATGTATTTATGTTGTGTGTTTGAACATGAGAGCTCCCGCATTTATACACCTTACATAACTATACAGAATGCTGTGCAGGAAATTGGTAAACGTATTGGTTATAATTGTACGGTTACATTTTATTATTAGCATGGCCCTTTGTACATGTAAGACAGTTATTTTTGCTTTCAGCCTGCACAGCAAGGTCAAACGTTAAGGTCGATCACAATTGTAACCTCTGTTTTGCACAAA